TAAAAAAAAATAATAATGTATTCTTATATATATACCATAAATTTTTATTTTAATTAGCTACTATATTCCTTTTTTTTTTTTTTTTTTTTTTTTTTTTTTGAATGATAGCAAAAACATATATCTATAGTACATCTTCCTCTGATGAAGAAAAAAAAGTAGAAACTACAATAAATGAAAATAGCAATAACTTAAAATTTAAAAGAAGAAAAATAAATAGAAATAATAATAATAATAATATCGATAATAAAAAAAGTAACATATTTAAAGATATTGGTGTATTTGAAAAGCATAAGTTAAAAAACGATTTAAAAAATGATAATAATACCAATAATATTAAGGGAGGAAAAATTTTCAAAGAAAATAATGGACATGAAAATTATATTAAAGGTGTAAACAATTCAGAATCAAAAGATTTTTCTTATGAGTTAATAAATGAAAAATTAAAAAATAATAGTAGTTCTGATGAATTTGAATTAAAAAAAATTAAATTTAGAGATGGTAGTTATTCAGATGAATTAGAAAATGAGAAATCAAGAAGCAATAGCAATTCTAATAGAAATGTTCATTTAAAATTAAGTGAAAACAATATTTATAGAAAAAATTCTGAAAAAAAAAATAATGTAAACAAGAAAAAAGAAGAAAGATATTATTCTAATAATAATGATAGAATTATGGATGAAATATGGTATACTAAAGAAGAAGAATATATTGATTCTTTTTACAATATGGATATAGAAGCTACTTATGAGAAAGAAAAAAAAATGATAAATAATTTTAAAACAAGAGTTAATAATTTAGGAAAGAAAGTAAATCAAAAAAATTTGGATAATAATTTATGGGAATTGAATAAATTAAAACAAGGTGGTGTGAATTCAACTTACAATAAATTACAATTAGATAAAATTAATGAAGCTAATAACACGAATGAAGTAAAAAAAATTGTTTTAACAAGGATAATGACTCCATCCTTTATTGATAAACTAAAAAATTTTAATGAAGATGATATCTCAAAAAATATTCTTGATAATTGGAATAGCATTTCACATGAAAAGAAAAATAATTCCACTTCCTATTCTAATGTAGTAAAAGATGAAACATGCGATTTTGTAAAAGCAGCAAAAAAAGGAAGTGAATTTTTAAGATATTTTAAAAATGAGAATGAAAAGTCTAAAGCAAGGGATAGATATTGGGAGATAGAAAATAGCAAGTTAGGGGAATTATTAAAGTTACATAAAAAGCAAAACAAATTAAATGATGAAAGTAATATAAATTTACATAATGAAGAAGAAAATAATGATGTTTTTGATTATAAAAAGGATAAAATGTATAGCAATATTTTTAATTTGGATATCAAAAAAAAAAATACATTAAAAGATAAAGAAGAATTAATAAAGTTGAAAGAATCCTTGCCTATTTATAAATCAAAAAAAGAATTATTAGATGCAGTTTATAATAATAATATTATAATCATTGTAGGGGAAACAGGTTCAGGAAAAACAACTCAAATAGTTCAATATTTATATGAAGAAGGATATCATAAAAGTGGAATTATTTGTTGCACACAACCAAGAAGAGTTGCAGCAGTTTCTGTTGCCTATCGGGTTTCATATGAAATGAATGTAGAAATAGGATCATTAGTTGGTTATACTATAAGATTTGAAGATAATACAAGTAGTCAAACAAAAATTCGCTATGTTACAGATGGTATTTTATTAAGAGAAACATTAAATGATAAAGAATTGGATAAATATAGTGTTATAATAATGGATGAAGCACATGAAAGATCAATTAATACAGATGTTTTATTGGGAATATTGAAAAATATTTGTTTAAAAAGGAATGATTTAAAATTATTAGTTACTTCAGCTACTATTGATTCAAAAAAATTTTCCGAATTTTTTGGAAATGCACCAATTTATAATATTCAAGGAAGAACTTTTAAAGTACACATAGAATATTTAAGAACTCCATGTCATGATTATATAGAATGTGCTGTACAAAAAGCAATAGAAATTCATGTGTCAGATAATAATTATGATAACAATTTTGGTGATATATTAATTTTTATGACTGGGCAAGAAGATATTAATGCAACATGCTATTTATTAAGTGAAAAATTTTATGAAGTATATGAATCTTATAAAGAATCAAAAAGTAACAAAAAAGATACTATTAATAAAATTAGAGACATAGTTAATGAAAAAGAAAAATTCTCTGAAAAGGATAATAAAAAAAATGACCAAATTCATCATATATATCCATTTTATGTTTTCCCAATATATTCTCAATTATCTAGTGAACAGCAGAGTAAAATATTTCAAAAATATGACCTTAGAAAAATAATTGTTTCTACAAATATAGCAGAAACTTCCTTAACACTAGACGGAATAAAATATGTAATTGATACTGGATATTGTAAATTAAAAGTATATAATCAAAAAATAGGAATGGATGTATTGCAAGTAACTCCTATATCCCAAGCAAATGCGAATCAAAGATCTGGAAGAGCAGGAAGAACAGGTGCAGGAATATGCTATCGATTATACACAGAAAATACTTTCTTTTGTGATTTGTATCCTAATAATATCCCCGAAATTCAAAGGAGTAATTTATCTAATGTTGTGTTATTATTGAAGTCATTAAATGTTCAAAATATATTTGAATTTGATTTCATTGATATACCTAGCAAAGAAAGCATAATTAACTCTTTATACGAATTGTGGATATTAGGTGCTATAAATAATGAAGGTAATTTAACAGAAATAGGAAAGAAAATGATTTTATTTCCCCTTGATCCACCTTTATCAAAAATTGTAATTTATAGTGAAAAATTTGAATGCACAAAAGAAATATTAATTATTGTTAGTATGCTTTCATCTCCTTCCATCTTTTTAGAGTCAAAAGAAAATAGTGAAGCTATTGAATCAAAAAAAGAAAAATTTACAGTACCAGAAAGCGATCATTTAACTTTATTAAATATTTATCTACAATGGCGTCATCACAATTACTCTTATAATTGGTGTGTGAAAAATTTTATTCAGCATAAGTCACTGAACAAGGCTAAAGAAGTATATTCTCAATTAAATGATATTATTAAAACATTAAATATGAAAAATATTTCATGTAATAATAAGTGGGAGCTTGTAAGAAAAACAATATGTTCTGGATATTTTCATAATGCAGCAAAATTAAAATCATTTTCTGAATATATTAATTTAAGAACTAATGTATCTTGTCATGTACATCCGAATTCTTCATTATATAATATAGGTTATACACCTGACTATGTCATATATCAAGAAATAGTTTTTACAACAAAAGAATTTATGAGAAATGTTACTACAGTAGAACCTGAATGGTTATGTGAATTAGGTCCTCTTTTTTTTTATATGAAAAATATGTAAGAATTTAAAGAATAGAAAATTTTGTAATTTTTTTCAGTTATTCAATTGATGTTTATTATATATTATTTTCAAATTCTAAATTTGTTTATGATACATAACTTAATATATATATATTCAAAGATTTATACAACCATATATTTTTTTTTTAATTTATTATTATAAAAAAATCTATATATATATATATATATATATTTTCAATTTTTCAATTATTTTTTATTTTTTTTTGTTTTTATTTGTTTTTTTCTTTTATTATTTTATTTTTTTTTTTTTAATTTCCACTTTACTTTTTTCTTTTAAAATATTTTTGAAAATAAAATATAATTTTCATTTATTTCTTTGATTAAAAAAAAAAAATAAAAAGAGTTCAATAGGACAAAATGAAACAAAAAATCTTAAACCTTTAAATTATTTAATATCTTCATAAATATTAATATTAAAATATAATAAATTGTACCTATATTTGAATTAAAAAAACAAGTTTTCTTAATATTTCAGCTGTTTAAAAAAGAAAAACATACATTTTGAAAATATTATGTGATTGATTCATTCAAGGATTTTACTTAAAAAAAAAGAATAAAAATCATTTTGTTTTTTTAACACTCATAAACTTGTAATTATCTATAATAAATAAAGATATATTCATTTTTTATTAGAATAATTTGTCATAAATCTGATATACTATACACATAAAATTTAATAGGAATTTATTCATTTTCATTTAATATATACTTTAAGAAAGATTTTATAAGAATTGAAACTATTTAGAACAATGAATTTTACATAAATTAATATATATTAAAATGGCAGAAAAATTGTCTTTATAAAAAATAATACTGAATATCAAAATTTTTAAATATATATTAAAATTATGAAATATACGTGCAATTTAAGTTATAAAAACTTTTTTAAATATATATATATAAAAAAAAAAAAAATATGTTTTATAGTTTCTGTTACAACATTATGAAATATATAATATTAAAGCAAAACAAAATAAATTAAAACAATAATTAAACATATAAATGGAAAATTATTCAGAAATTTTAAAATGAATATGGTTAAAAAGCAAAAAAAAAAATTTTTTTTTTTTTTTTTTTTTTTTATTTCATATATAAATAATAGCTATATTAATTTTTCTTATTGTTTTTGTTTTTTTAATATATATATAAAAAAAAAAAAAAAAAAAACTTATTTAAAACTATATATTATTATTATATTGTAAAGAAAATTTAAAATTTTTACATTAATAAAAGATTTTGTGTTTGCTATAATAAAAAATAATATATATATATATATATTTATATCATTAATATATTAAGTGTAAAAATACGATGTTAAAAGAAAAATAATCGAAATAAAATTTTCAAATAAAAAGTAAATACATAGATTAATAAACAAAATGATATATAAATTTCATTTTTTTTTTTTTTTTTTAATAAAACATTATTATTTTAGTACTTTTAATTAATTTAATTTTTTTTTTTTTTTTTTTAATTTATATGTTTCATTTATAAGAAATCATACAAATGAATCCCTAAAATTTTTATTCTATATATTTGAAAATGGATATAGATAATAATTCATTAAGTTTTTATAATCTTAAAAAATATGAAGATCATTTAAATAATTCAAATAAAGACGTGAAAAATATAAAATCTAAACAGTGTAATGGGAATAAAAAGAAGCTGAAAGAAAAAAATAATATAAATGTAAATGACATTCCTTGTCAAAATCATATAAGTAATTCCAATCAGAGTTTTGTAAGCTTCTCTGATGATTCATCTTATTTAAGTTCATTTTACAACAATGACATTTTTGATGAAAATTCAGATCATATAAATGGTCATGGAAAATTAATAAATAACATTCCATGTAATTCGGATGATTCTGATAATTCGTTATCTGAATATGCATGCTACAAAGAGCAAAAAAAAAATTATATAAATAATATTTTGAATGATAATAAATGTAAATGCTATGAAAATGGAGATTATTCGCAACATATTAAAACACCTGAAAAGAAAAAACACACAGCTAAAAGTCTAGAAGAAAAAAATCGAAAGAATTCATTTAATTTTAATAACAACCATAATGCTACACCCATTACTCAAAAAACATATAAGAATATCAATATTACTAAAAATATTAATAGTGCAAAAGAAAATGATGTTGAAAATCAAAAGTCTCTATATGATAAAGAAAATAATAATTATAATGTTGATAAGAGTATTATCAATAATAGAAATGACTGCCATGATAATAATAATAGTGAAAGTAATAATAATGAAGAAGATTTATATTCTGTTATAAGTGGTTCAGAATATGATAATAAAACAAATGATATTCACAAAATTAATGTGTGTGATAACAGTAATTCAATCGATAATGTAACAGAAAAAAAAACAAGTAAAATAGAAGAAATAACAGTAAAAAGTAACAATGTGAATTCAATGAAAGAAAATAAGTTTACTGATGAAATGGAATATTTAATGAATAATAAAAAGATGAAAAATATACAAAAAAACGTTCTAAAAAATTTTGATTCGAATAAAGATAAAATAAAAGATACTGACTTTATTATTAAAAATAATTATGAATTTAAGGAACTTATTGCATCAACTATTAATATGTGTTATCCGAAGATAAAAAATGGGAATGATTCTCATGATATTTTAAGAAACATGGAGAAATTATCAAAAATTGTTATATCTGATGATAAAAATAAGGAAATATTGAATAATGATGAAGAAGAAAATACTAACAGTTTATATGATGAAGTTGACAATATTTTAGATAAGAGAAATAAAATGTACATTGAAGAAAAATGTAAATTGCTCTTAAAAAAAAAGGATGTAATCAATAAAGATAATTTAGATAATAAGAAAATTGAAAAAGATTTAAATAAAGGTAGTGAAAATTTAGATAGTAGTCAAATGAAAAGTGAGAAAATTAAAGGTATTACAGAAAATAAAGAAAAAGAAAATAATAATAATAATAATAATAAATTAGATAATTTTATATATTATTTAAATCATAATATGATTGAATTAAATGATAATATTTGTAAATTATATAATAGTACTTGTGATATTACACAAAGAAATTATTGCACAAAAAATATTATAAATATAGTACCTCAATTAAATAACATATACGAAAATAAAAATTTATGCTATATTAAGGATACTCCTAATTTTAACGAAATATCTAAGATAATACCAGAATGGAAAGATTCTTTTGAATTATTAAACAAAAAAGCATTAAAGGATACAGAGGATATGAAAAATATATTGCATAGAATAGAAAATATAAGGAATGACTTAGATGAATTAAATAAAGATCTAAAAGAAGATAAAAAAGAATTTGAAAAAATAAAATTTGAAACTGTTGAACATGAATCTATGATTTCTTCTTTTGAAAAAAAAAGTAAAATACATATAAAAGGAGTATTAAAACTAGATAATATGTCTTATAAATTAAAAAAAATTCATAATATTTCATCAAATAATTTAAATAATTTTACAATATCAGAGCATGTTAATAGATTATTAAAATGTATAGATAATTCATTAATAGATTATTCTCAAAATTTTAATGAAAAAAATTTCGAAATTTTAAGATTTCAGAATTTAGATAACAAATTTGACATTTTAACCAATACTGATGAAGAATCTTGCTTTGTTATGAATATTTTAAATGAAGAGTTAAAGGAAATGATTTTAGAAAAAAAAGAAAAACTACAAAAAATAATAAGGAAAACACAGTTATATAATATTTTGGACACAAATACATATAAAGAACATATAGGAAATACATTAAGTAAACATAATATATTAATCAATCAAATTAAAAATAATTTACAAAATAAAGTAATTTTATTATTTGATATGTATGAAAGATTTTTTAAAAAAAATATGAAAATAATAAAAATCTCAGATATACATGTAAAAGATTATATAAATGAAAATATTAAAAAATCTTATATCATTAAAACCTTTAATGATACAAAAAAAAATGTAGAGAAATATTTTATGAGTATAAATTTTACTCGAAATAAGCCAATAGATCATCCTTTTTTTATTTATCATTGTTTAAGTGAAAAATTTGTTTATAACTTTATAACATTTGTTTTAGATCCATTATCTGAACAAAATCAAAAGAATTTTATGCAATATTGTTCTATACCAGGTTTTAATTCTTTTCTATTTTCACAACAAGTTATTAAATTATATAGGCAGGAAGAACAATTTACAAAAAGCGATATTTCTTATGATTTCTCATCAGCCTATTCAAGAATTATGTGTTCAGATTTATATGATTTTTCTCATAAAAATTTACTGAACAATGTAAAAGAAAAGTGGAATGATGAAAACCAATATTTAATTTCATTAAGGAATGCATCAGATAATTTTTTTAAATCATTTATATCAAAAAATAATTATAATAGTTATTTTACATCCAACTCAAGTAATGGGTTTAATTTAATTCAACATATACCTGATTCATTAACACATATGTGCAACAATTATACAGCTATCTGCTACGATAATTTTAATAATCAAGGTGCAGTTTTAGGAATTGCAAAAAATGAAGATGTAAATAAATTAAACCTTTTATCATCGTATTTACATTCATCAACTAGTAATACAAATAATAATACACAGAATAATAATACGGCCAATAACTTATTTAATATAAATAAAAGTAACATATTTACAAATAATTCACCAAATAATTTATTTAATAATAATAGTATCACTAATAATAATATATTAAACAATACATCTAATATATTTGGAAATAATAACTCATCTAATTTATTTGGAAATAGTAACTCATCTAATTTATTTGCAAAAAATCCATCTGAAAATGCTACAAATAATATATTTATTAATACAGCTAATAATTTATTCAAAAATATTAATAAGACAGATAATCTATTAAATAACAATACAAATAACTTATTTGATCAAAGTAAAAGCAATATATTTATAAATAATCCATCGAATAACCTATTTAAAACAAATGACACTACAACTAATAATACATTGAATAGTACTACTAATTTATTTGGAATTAATAATTCATCAAATAATATATTCACGAAAAATTTAAATTCAAATTCAGCAAATAATTTATTTGGCAATTCAACAAATAATATGAACATTAATAATAGTAATAAAAATAATTTATTTAATAATAATATCACATCAAATATTTCTAACAGTTTACAAAATAATAATACTCCAATTAGCAATAATAACTTATATAATAAAAGTTGTACCACTAATTTTTTTAGTGGTAGTAATAACAATACAAGTGGATTTTTTAATAAAAATTCATTAAATGTTTCTAATAACTTATTTAATAATGATAAAACTACAACTAACATGAATAGTAATATTTTTTCATCTTCTAGTCTTCAAACAAATGTAAAACCTAATAATTTTACTAATAATAGTATATTCTCAACAAATATAAATAATAATAATTCATCATTATCAAATAATGGCATGTTTTCATCGACATTAAGAGGAAATCAATTCATGAATAATAATTCAATTCTATCAACTAATGATTTGAATAGACAATCTAATAATATTTTTTATACTAACAACAGTAATAATAATTCTATGAATATAAATAATGTTAATAGTAGTATATATGATGCTAAATATAACTGTGATAATTTAAATAGAAGTAATTATATAGGGATAAATTCGTATAATAATAACAATAATAATAGTAATAATTTATTTAATAATAATAATAGTAATAATTTATTTAATAATAATAATAGTAATAATTTATTTAATAATAATAGTATTTTTAACAATCAATCGAATATCTTTTCAGTAAATAATAACTCCAACAGTTTATTAAATAATAATAATTCATTTTCATTAAACAGGAATGCAAATATTTTTTCAAATAATACTTTATCATCTAGTAATACAAATAACTTATCAAAAAACAATTTATTTAATATTTCCTCAAACAATTTATCTAATAATAGCAATAATATATTTTCTAATAATAATAATAATAATAATAATAATAACTTATTTAATAATGCAAATAATATATCTACTAATAATTTATTTAATAATAATTTAGGAGTTACAAGTAATTCAATTAATAATAATTTATCCTACAACAATAATAGTTTGTTTAATCAAAAAAATAATTTATTAATCTCAAATAATAATAATAATATTAATACAAATACAAGTATGTTGAATAATAGTAGTATATTTTCATCAAATAATAACCTTTTACAAAATAATAATTTCTCTACTACTTCATTAGATAATAAATCAACTAGTTTATTTTCAAAAGATAATAAAACTACAAATAATATATTTGACAATAGATTATTTCAAAATCAAAATAACAATTATATTTCAAATTCTAAAATTGACATAAGTGGAAAAAACACTTTTGGAATTACTGCAAATTTATCTAATAACTTATTTCAAAAAAATTCATTTTCGACAACTCAAAACAAAGGAGAAATATCAAATTTTAATTCTTCATCTTTATCAAATAATTTTAATGTGTTAAATAACATTAATCCATTTCAAAAAAATAATGAATCCAATTTTCCTTCCTTTTATAATTCAACAAACAATACCTTATTTTCTAGATAAAATTCTAATGGAAAATTTTTTCTAATTATAGAATAAGAAATGATTTATCATTAAAAAAAAAAAAAAAAAAAAAAATTAAATTTTAATGATTCTAGAAAATTCAAAAAGGAATAATATTAATTAAAATAACAATTATATTATCTCAAAAGAAAAAATTTATCTAAAAGTTAAAATGATTAAATTCCTTTAATTTTAAAAAATTATATATTTTTACATTCATATAAAAACCTTAAAAACAATAAAAAATAAAACATAACAACAAGAAGCAATAAAGAAAAGATGAAGAAACAAAAAAAAGAAACGAGTGTTTTATTTTATTTAAAGATTTAAGAAAAGTTAAATATAAATTTTCTAGGTTTATATTAGTTTACCACACAAAAACTAATTAAGTTTTTTTTTTTTTTTTAATTTTAATATATATTGTTGTCTTTTATATTTAGTCTTTCCTTTGTTAAATTGTTTTATATTTTTTTTTTAAATTTAAACTTTTTAAAGAAATTCGTAATTTACATAAATCAATAATTATTTTATTATGGTAATATTAAAAATAAAAGTATACATATATATGTTTGCATAAAATAATTTTTTTTTTTTTTTTTTTTTTTTTTTTTTTGTTTATAAAAACTTGTGAGTTTATTTTATCTTAAAAAGTTTTAAATATAGAATATACAAACAAAAATAAACATAAAAAAAAAAAAAGTAAAAAATAATTTTTATTATTTTTAGTTTAAGTAATATGCATATACAAGTGTATTAATAATAATAAAAATATATCTAAATGAATTGAATATACTATTATTACTTCCACCTCCATAACCTTGAGATGACATAGTTGTTTCATTTGTTCCGTCGCTATCACTTCCATCACCACTTGAGACATCATGCATAGGATAAGGTATATCTTCGTCACCTATATCTTCATGATCACCAGATCCATCAGTAGATCGTCTACTTCTGGAATGTCCACCACGTGTATTTCCAGGTGATAAATTAATTGTAGAAGAAGTAGGTTCAAGTCTATTAGGTGATGAAGAACCACTTTGAGAAGGTGGAACGTTTTGACTACCTCCAATTACTGAAGGTGTACCAATCATAGGATCAACAGGAGTTCTTTGTCTAGTCAATTCATTTTGTATGTGTTCTTTACTATGATGTGCAGATATATGATAATACACTTTTACAGAATGGTTATTAACATTACATTTACAATAAAAATGAATATCACTTTGATCATCTTTTAATTTATCAATGTTACGTTTGTTTAAATGTAAGATTGTTTCTAAAACTTTAATATTGGCATTATATAATGATTTATGAGGGACTACAAAAATATCTTCACTATTGAATACATCTTCTATTCTAACCAACTTGTCATTATTATTATATACCTTATCGAAACACACAAAATCTTCAGCACCAGATACTGGGCATACTAAACCAATCGTTTTTTCAATACCTAAATCAGTAACTATTACATCTATTGTTTTATTTTCTGTTATTTTAGTATCTACTACTTTATAATTTGGTGATGCACCAGTTAGATCAATACCTTCATAAGTATACGCATTTCCTCCATGTATAAATTTTACTTGTTTAGTGTCACTTTCTCCATAAGGAAGGCTTGTAGTTGAATCTGAAGGAATTACATTAGAAATTACATATCCATTTGAATCAGATGATAACGAAAATAAATAAGAACCATTTGGTAATTGATATGTGTTATTTGGGTAGTCTGCAGATGTTTTAAATACTAAAATATCTTCAGTATAAACTGAAATAGGACCCCCACCTTGAATTTTACTTAAATCTGTTAAATTTCTTAAATCATTAAAATTTACATCAATTCTAGATTCATCGCTAAATGTACAATACACATGACTATGATTAAATACAAAGTTAGAATGATTTACTGGGAAGAAAAATTCAATCTCTGTTAAATTTTCTTCATTTTTTACAATCTTTTTTTTTATTAAGGTGGTTTTTTTTTTATTAGAGTCTGCAGCATCAAAGACATGTGAAAAACAATCTTCATTCACTGTTACTTTCTGTGGGTGTTTAAAATAAAAAACCTTATATAAACCATCTTTTGTGGTCTCAATTTCTGATGTAGGTACCACACAGGTTTTTTTGCTGTCGATATCTGCGAATCCATATGTATATGCTTTATTTGATGCGTTATCGGTCGTTAATTCACAACCTCTTTTTCTCTCGGGAATATTTATTTTTATTACATGTACCTTATTATCATCTTTACGATAAAATAAAAATACTTTTGTTTCGTTAGCTAAAACAAACTCATAATGACTATCATTAAATTTACGGTTAGTGTCGGGTTGAAAAGTTTCATTACTATTATAAATGGCACATGGATATAGTTCCTCACTCTTTTTAGCTATAGAAAAGTAGTAATTATTTATTTCTTCATAATTTTGTAAAGTATAATCATTAGCTAGTTTTGGTTTAAAGGAAGTACAATAGATATCATTTTTGTGCATAAAACTGCATGAAAATTCTTCCTCTGTTTGGTTACGAACCTTCACAAAAATGTTACCTCCAATTATAGTTAACCTTAATTCTTCATTATTTAAAAGTTTCTGGCTATTATAAATATTCATTGTATCTTCCCAATTTACTCCTTCATCATAAGAAATTTTACATCTACCTAATAAATTTGATGGAGTACCCAATATATTTACTTCGGCTTGTGCATGAGTATCAGTTTCTGTTTTTTTAATACACATCATAATAAATTTCTCACGTTCACTTCTTATATGTACCAAAGGACCTGAATAAAATGCTGGAACATCATTTTCATTAAATCCACTATTTCCTATTTCTTTCAAAGACCATGTTAAATCTTCTTCTGCTATTGCAATATAATATTTTGTACATCTAAAAATTACTATTAGTTTATCTTTTGTCACAAAAATTGAAAATATAGTTGGCTTTTTATTAATCTCATTCTTTTTTATTTCCTCACTACTTTCCCACTCAGTACCATCTGTTGTTTTATGCACTTTAATTGTACATTTTTCGTCAGATTCTATTTTAAATGCATAAATCTTACCTTTAAAATTTACGCTTGTATAAACTATTTTATTATTACTAGGAAATTCTAAGTTAGTTATCTTTGTATCCTCAAAAGTCAGATCTCCATATGCGTTTTTAACTTTTAGAAAAAACAATACAACCAAAAAAAAATTTAAAATTGACATTTTCTTTAAGTAGGAAATTATCATGTATTATATCTGAATTTTTAAATGATTTCAAATATATACAGTTATGCTTATATACAAACCACGGGTTTTATAAAATTACATTAGAACATCTAAGAATAGAACAAAATTAGAATAAAGTATAAATTTCCAAAATAATAAAAATTAAAAAAAAAAAAAAAGAAAAAATATATATAAATATATAAATATACATATATATATATATATAATAAGATGAAAAAAAATAATTAAATTAAAAAAAAAATAAATAAAAATAAAATATAAATTAAGAACTTTTTTTTTTACACCAAATGAGAAACTAAAAAGACGAAATGGTCTACTTCAGGAAAAAATTTTTCTCATGCTTTTGCACCTTTATCTGAATTTTAGCATATAAAGAAATAATAGATAATTAAAAAATAACATTTTATTAATACATGTAATAGAAAATAGACACTTAACATTTTTCTTTCTTAAAGTTGCATTTAAAAAAAAATAAAACCATAAGCATAAGTGATTTAAAGTGAAATCATGAAATGCTCAACAAATAAAATATGTTGTAAGTGCATTCAAATTTGAATAATTAAAAATAAAATTATTAAAGATAATTTCCTTTCATTTAATTTCATTAGAGCAAATTAAAATTTTCATAATTTAGTTATCTTGATGATATGTAGCTTCTTAAAGTTTTACATATATATAGTTTTTTGATTTTAGTTTTTCAATTTTTTTTTTTTTTCATTTGTCAATTTTTTGCCACATTACACCACTATGTAATATTATCATGTGCAAAAAACATAAAACAAAAAAAAAATATTAACTCTTCTTATTTCATTATATTAATTATTTAATAAAAAATTGGATTTTTTTTTTTAAATATTTTACTTGGTTTCTATTTAAAAATGCAAAATGAAATAAATACATAGATAAAATATTATTTTAATTTAATAAAACTTTCTTGAAATTATATAAATGCAAATATATTTATATATATATATATGTGCAATTTTTAATCTACACAAATATCATTAAAAATAGAATATTTATTGTAATATAAATTTTCAATACTTTTTGCTGTATTATAATCTCCAAATATCTTTAATAATAGGGAAGAACTTTCAATTAATTTTTTTACAAATTCTTGATCAAATTGATGTATTTCTTGATTTGCCCAAAAAATTGAAGCTTTCTGTAAGTTCTCTAGAACATCAATGTTTTTAATTTTTTTTTCAAAAATATCTATCCAAAAAGTAGTAATTAAATGAATAATACCCTCAATATCTAATTCACTTTTTCCTTTAGATTTTTCCCATATATTACTTTTCGGTATTTTACTATCTATTATCCATTTATTACCATATTCTGAATCTAATATTTTTTCAATAATGGGTGATAAGGTAGTTGATAATATATGAAAAATGTTTAATATAATATCTAATATTACATATTCATTATTTATATAAATATTACTTTGAGTATTCATTAATAATCCATGAATTAAATTTGAAGGGTATATTCTCCTATTATTTTCATCTATTTTCAATTTAAGTATCACATCATCATTAATATTCTGACTACTTAATAAACTATGTGCATTTATTATTATATGTTCACTTGAATTATATAAATTTTTATATATTATATTACCAATATTCCACGAAATAAATAAGTATGAATTTATTGGTATGTTATTTGAATAATTATTACCATGAATGTAACAAAAAAAATCACGTGCCGAAGTAATATTAATATTTGTAAAAATATTATTCTTATTTATATACATATTATTTGAATTACCATTCTTTTTTTTTAATAAAATGAAATTTTTTTCTTTAATATTATTGTTAATATTTTCTTGATTCAAGTAGCTATCAATAAAACTTTTATTATTTTTTAAGATATTTATATCAGTTATTTTCTTTTTATTTAGTGTATATGGGTTATTTATCATATCCTCCACAGATTGAGAGTATACTGACAAATGACTATTAACTCTTGATGAACTTAAAAAGAATTTTTGATTTTTGTAATCATCTTCACAATCCTTGTCTATAGTTGTTCTGAAATTAGTTGGGTTTATTAAATCTTCATTTGAACTATTTTCATGAGATGCATTATTATGCAAATATTGACAAAATTGTCTTATTACATTTATACTGCATTGATAAATAACATTTAATTTTTTCTCTATATTGTTTTTATCTATATTATATTTATTAATAATATTATTAGTTAATGCTCTACATTCTAATATTTTAATAGGTGGATAATAATAATATTCTAATATATGAAATACTGCAGTACATTCGTTATAAATTTCAACATTTTTAATAATAGTGTATTTAGATGTATTTTTAATATTACACTTAATTTTAGAATTTACACTATTAATATCCCAAAAAATATTTAAATCACATGATTCGTTCATAAAGTTATATTTACAAAATCCATTGATACTTGAAAACATTCCATCGCTATTACACCCAAATTCACTACAACGTAAAGAAGATATTTTTTCATTTGGAAATTCTACCCAGTTTCCCTCTGTTAATACTGTTGACTTCATTCCTTTGCTATCTGATAAATTTAAAGTTTGTCTAGTAAAATTGATTATTAAAATATATAAAGATTTATGTGCTTTTCTTAATCTTTTTTTCCAATCATAATTTTTAATATTAATTATGAAACTTAAAGGTAAAATATCTAAAATATCTTGATATTTATAAACATTATGTAACTTTGCACTCAATAATGCATCATTATTGCTTTCATCTTTTTTATAAGAATTATTTAAATTATCTTTTTTCATTTTTTCTTTTTCTTCTAAAGTTCTTATATTTAAAATTCTTAATAATCCTTTCTTTAATTTTTTTTTATGATACTCAATGAATTTTTTTCCTTCTTCTGTTTCCAATATATTTATATAAAATTTACTATTATATGTATTATCAAAACTATGCTTTACTAAAAAATAATTCTGTTGAGAAAAAACTTGTTTTTTATCATTCTTTATATTCATACCTATGATTGCTGAAGCCACATTATCACCTAATAATGGGATATCAAAGCGAGCATTTAAAATATATTCCTCACTATTTATAACAACACAATATTGCAAAATACCATAAAAATTTCCCATAGTTTTCGTAAATTTAGCTATACATTTTTCTTCACTTTTACTTTTTAAACATTCTGGAGGATTAATTGACCATATACCATGTTTTACTGAATGCATATATCTATAAAAAGCACAGCTTGTGCCATTCAATATTCTTATTTCACATTCTCTATTTTCCATCTTTTTTTTTTTTTTTTTTTTTTTTTTTTTTTTTTTTTTTTTTGGCTTTGGTTATAGCTATAACAGATTTATTGTCCCATATTAGTATTTTTTCGGTTAATTATTTTTTTATTTAAAAAATCAATGATTTTTATTTACCAATTTTTTTTTTTTTTTTTTTTTTTTTTTTTTTTTTTTTTAAAAAAAAAAAAAAAAAAAAAAAAACATTATTTTTAATAAAAATACAGCTAAACAAAATAATTTCTCTTCTTTCTTTTTCTCTTTTTTTTTTTTTTTTTAAATACTATTTATATTATTATAGTATAATATAGTTTATTTCTCTTTTTTTTTTTTTTTTTTCATTTTTTTTATAGAGAATTTATATGAAAAATAAATATATATATATATATATATATTTTTCCTTTTAAAATATAATATACACAATAAAGACTCCTCTTTTTTTAATATTTTTAATGAAATAAAATTGTTATTTAAGAAAAGAATTCTGTTTTAACTGTCCTTTGAAAAAATTAGAAAATTTACATATTTTTTATTTTATTACTTTTCATTATCTCCTTTTTCTTTTTTTTTATTTTTTCTTGAACATAATACGTCCATAAAAATTTTCCCACCTAAAAAATACATAATGATAATTTTTTTTTTTTTTTTTTTTCCCCTATTAACATTTTATTTTATTTATATATTTTTTTTTTTTAATTTTTCAAATTATCCTTTTGAAGTGATGTTACATATAAACTCATTTCCGCCATATAATTTCAATGATTTTATACTGAATTTTAAATGAAATATAATTTTACAAATTTTAAATAATATATAGGGATAAATAAAATATTAAAAATTTTATCTTTATGGTGTTTTTAAAAGAAAAGTAACATAAATATTCTTACATTTTTCTTTACAATTATAAATTTTTAGTATTTATGAATTATAATAAAATTTTTGGTTATATAATATATAGGTTTTTAAACATTTATAAAATTAATAAATTCATTGAGCATTATATAATTATGTAAATTAATAACAAAAAGAAAAAAATTATAAATTAGTTGTTTTACTATATAAAAATAACTTCATATATATATATAGTAAACTATATATTATATTTAAAAATAAACTTAATTATATTTTTCATTTTTGAAGATTAAAAGAAAAAAATAAGACACTTTTATTGCATGCCTTTTAAAATATGTTTTTTTATTAAGTAAAACAAAAAAAAAAAAAAAAAAAAAAAATTAAATTAAAATAGCAATCTTAAAAGAAACAAATTATATTCATCTTCTGGGTAGTTTGTTCTACAATTTTTTATCAAAAAAAAAAAAAAATATATTAAATACATTTTTAAGTATTTTTTATGTATATATCGAATAATGAGTAATACTTTTTAACTTTCAAAATAAAAAAAAAAAAAAAGGAATAAATTCATTAAAAATTTGTAATAATTATCATGAAAATAATACAAATAATCTAGTATCTACAACAATAAATAAACAAAAATATCTCACGAAAGTTAATATTTGTATTATTTAAACTACTAATAACATATGTGTAATTAAAACATTTATTTTTATATTTTGATAAATTTGGTGTTAAAAAAATTTTCATTTTACTTCAGAGTATTTTTTTTATATATTTTCAATAATATATATTACTTTTAGTTAAATTTATATTCTTTAAACTATTTAAATATATATTATATTTTTGATGAAAATCGCTTTAAGAATTTTAGCTTATTTACAATTTAAACATAAAGCAATATATTATAAGAATTAAAAAAAAAGGTCAACAGAGTTATAAATATATTGATTTTAATTATTTGTTAAAGCTATTCTAATATAAATAATATTTACTTTTATGAATGAAGTATTTTTCTTCTCTTTTTTTAAGTATATAAAAATTATAAAAAATAAATTATATTGAAAAATTTAATATATATATATATATATGAATAAATATTTAATAAATTCTCTATTTTTGTTTCTTTTCATAAATTCATTTTTGTCAAATACTTTTGTAATTGTGAATTTAAATTTCCATAAAAAAGTAAGATCAAATACATTTCTATATAGTTATACTTAATATTTTAAATTATTGTTATTTTTAATAAAATAAAAAGTGTACTTAATTCTAACTAAATTTTTTAATAATATTAGGTAATTTGGGAAATTCAAAATAAAAAGTAAAAAAAAAGAAAATTGTAACCATAAAAAATTTAGAATATATAAAATTTTAGATTGTATCGTATAAAACTAAAAAGAGTTTTTTTTTTTTT